AGCCAGTGTTATAGAATAAGATCTACACATGCATTCACCAGTTTGAACAGTTCTTTCTAGCTTAATTTTCCTTGAAAATAATGGCACAAGCAAATTAGAAATAAAATACAGTTCAATTTATTAAAAACAACAGACTTATTGAAATACATTATTACCTCAAGCAAAGCTCACTGATATCACAAAAACAAAGCAGGAACTCATTATAATAAAGCCCAACAGTAGGATGACTTTCCCATTCTGAATCTTCAATGTAAACCTGTCTCTTGGATTTCAGAAATCAGAGGCCCCATTTCTCAACCTTGTGCACTTAAATTGTGCATACTTCACTGACTATTTGGTATTGGCTTATTCTTCCTAAATTATTCACACTCTCTCAACCTACATAAATTACTTTTCAAGTTTCCAGGAAATACTTTCTTCCAAAAATTGCCTTATTCACATAACCACAAAGCCCAACTATCTGTTGCAAAGTTAGGCGTTTCCCTGTTTTTACCATCTCTCATTAACCACAGAGTTTGGCCATCTGGTAGCAAAGTTATAACTTTTCCTGTTATCTCAAATTCTCTTTCAACCATTGTAGCTAACATATCTTTCTTCCCAGTTGCTGGTTCTGTGTTTAATCATGTTCTGTCATGCTGTTCTTATTCCCATGGCATGAGTTGCAGCATAGTTCTGCCTATTTTAGATTTTAGGCAGAACTGATAACTTTTATCATTTAACCTATACTAATAATGTTTGCTTTTTTGTTTTCTTATCGCTGTCTCACTCATTCTGCAGTTTATGTGTTATGACAACTATTCAAATGTACATATATTTCTTTAGTTTGCATAATAGATTCTTTCTCTACTGTTCAGTAGATAAGCACAAACATTCTACAGGGCATTGACATTTGACCCTGGAAATATAAGCAAACATTTTCACATTCAACATTACAGACTATCAGGCTCGTCCTTGCCTTAGGTAAAGTGGCTGTCTCAGAAAGGGTATGCTAGAATAATGACAAGAGACCAGAAAAAGTTGTTACATGGCTTGTACTACAGCCTCTTCTTCTTAAACTATCCAACTGCACTTAGTTGTAGTAAGATCACTACTGCTGAAATGAGTTTGCTGCATATCATACTGGCAGTGATGGGAGGAAAAGGCACCATCTTTTCATTTACTTCTAGCAGAGAGTTGTGTGGGATCCACTTTGGCCATGGGACACACAAAGATGATTGGGGACGAGAGAAAGGAGAAGAACTCAAAATGGAGATGAGAGACAAGCAGATTTATACAGCTCACCTTCTGATGGATTCACTTACCATAATGGGACCTAGGAAAGTTTGTGATGTGACAATGCGATACATAGATCTCCATAATACTTCATATTGTATTAGAGGGGGAAAAAGTGTGGAAAAGCAATATTCTGAGTGATAAACAATAATCTAGAGTGACTTTTGAAGCAGATGTAGGAAGTAAGTACTTCTACAAGAAATTAAACAAGAGAAAAAAACAAAAGACAAATTAGTTTAGCAGATCCATTCCAATCTACAGCAGTTAGAAAAAGCAAGAAGTAAAACCAATTAGCTAGTAGTTGCTATAACTGACTAAAACCTATACAACATAGGCAAAATACTATGAGTTGAACAATGTAACAGTTTATAAAAATGAACTTGGAAGAAATAAAGAAGGCATTTCCTTGGTAAGCACTACATGAAGTTAGTACTGTAAAATTGTTTCTGCTTCAGAGTGAAGACTTAATCCATGTTAATCATCCCCAAGGAAAAATATAACCATTAAAGTGTAAGCATATTTTCCTGTTGGTAAGAAAAATTCATACCTGACCTAGAGCAATGCTTTTTCCACTCTCATCCCCTGAGGTTCATTGATGACATTTTCATCATCTGGACCCATGATGGACTCATCAAATTTCATCATGACTACAACAACTTCCACCCAACCATCAACTTCATCCTTTCTACAGAACAAGCTGACTTCCTTGGTGTCACAGTAAAACTGAACATTGGCTACATAAACACCACATTATATGGGAAATCTACAGACCTCTATGCATACCTCCATGCTTCCAACTTCCATTCAGAACCCACCACCAAATCTATAGCCAGACCCTATGTTACAACTACATTCATTCTGACCCACTTGACAGAGATGCTCAACTGATAGAATTCATTCAGGCATTCATGAGACAGAACTACCCATCCAGTGAGATCACTAGACAAAGCAAAAGAGCCAGATCAATTATCAGGGAGGACCTATTAAAAGACAAGTCACAAAAACCACTGGTTGCCACCTACAACTCATGCCACTCAAATCCCTTATTAATAAACTACAAATCATACTGGACAACACATTTCTCAGGCCCTGGGTGGCATACCCATGCTTGCATACAATCACCCAACTTGAAATAGATTCTCACAAGCAATAGAACATGATGCTAATATGGGAAACAGACCCTGCAATAAACCCAGGTGTTTATTTTGCCGCCACATTTATACCAACAGCACCACCACCAGTCCCAACAACTTTACAAAAAAGGTTAGAGGCGCCTTCAGATGCCGTTCTTCCAGTGTGATGTACACCATCATCTGCCAGCAATACCCCTCTCAGTTCTACATTGGACAAACTGATAGACTTTGTGCAAAAGAATTAATAGATATGAGTTTGATATCAGGACCCAAAAATAGGACAACGTAATATCAAAGCATTTTAACCTCTCAGGACATTCAAGGTGGCTGTTTTAGAACAATGAAACTACGCCAGCATTATAGTGCAATAGATTGCCAAGCATACATCAAAAGGTTTCAGGTCTTAACAAACACAATGGATTTTTAACACATTACAATTGCTATTTGATGAAGTATTTGTAACCTATCTCACATTAACCAGCATCTGCATACCTTTTCTCCTCTCCCCTTCCCTCATCCCTTTTAAATCCTACATCCATCTAGCCACTCTGCATCTGTGAACTGAGCTCCAACTCACAAATGCTTATGCTGCCCTTTTAATAAAATGTGTTAATTGAAAAAGGTGTTACCAGACTCATTCTGGTTTATTTCAGATTGATGAGAGTCACTAGCAGAATGACTCTGAGGATCTAGCAACCAGTGTTCCATTTTAAAAGGATACCTAATATTCTCTTTTCCACTTTGTTAAGGAGGTTAATCTACTGACTACTTCCCAGAATGCCAATTAAGAAGAAATCATTTGAAGAGAAAAGAAAGCCAAGTCAATGTTTTTAATTTCTAGGGAAACATCTATCTAGCCTCTTTCCCCCACCTTTTGATAAGCATTGATCTATGATATCTCCCACAGAGGTCAGCAGAGCCTTAAGAGCACTGACTTTTCATAGATGCAAAAAACAAATAATTATCCAAAGTTCCAATAGAAGAGAATATATGTAGCTCAGGGTTGAACTTGGTGCTCTCTGAGCTTGGTTGTTCGCTTGCAGACATTTTGTTACCCAACTAGGTAACATCGGTGACATCATCAGACTGGATAATCTTACATCAATTATCCAAAGGCATACAATGTATCTCACTTCTGCTTTCTGGGAACAACCAAATTCACAGAAATTTAACTGCACCTCCTAAAGATGCACAGCAATGTATGTATTTTGAACTGCTCTCTCACCCCAGCCCCAGAGCTGTTTGTTCATCTGACCTAATGAAGACTGCTATGCTACTCTAAAGATTACATTTATTTCCACTGACAGTGATTCAATAAAAGACAAACCTTTAGTGCTTTACATCCTGTAATTCTTTAATACAAAAGAATAACATTCCATTTGCCCACTTGACAAATTAATTCTGATTGCTCTGCTTAGCTGATTAAGTTTACACTTCCACAAAACTATTTGCAAGTGGCATGAAAGGAACACTAATCTTGCATGTAGTTCTTTGCAAGTGAATTGCATGGGTTCAGTTAGATGGATTTTGGGGTAAGAGTATAGAGTCGTTGTTTGAAGATGCTACTTGTAGGTACACCTGCACAGAACCACTAAAGAAAAATGTTCAAATTCAGCAGCATAAAACTCTCATATTACCTGAAACATATTTTCCCTACATATTGCAAGCAATAAAGGGAAGTTGGGAAAATAGTTTCAAAAATTGCTTTATTCTTAATTTCCAAAAATCTCCCAAATAATCTCCAATGCTGTCAATTCTTGAAGCAGGTGTATGAAAAATGTAGTGGTACCAGAGCCCACATGTAGAGTAGCTGGGCCAAATTACTCTCTTTTGCAGGGGAGGGAGTAACCATCTGACACCTTCCAAAACCATCAATTTCACCATTTAATCTCCCATCCCAGACATGCATTCTAACCCCACCCAGTTCTTGACATGCTGCACCAGGCATGAGATCCTAAATTGCACCCATCTGCTGTAAAGGCTGCTTTCCCCAACCTGGTACCCCCCAGAAGTGCAACTTTATACTGCCTTCTCACCATAATCCCTTTAAACTCAAGAGATCCTTCTCCCATTTACAGGTGCCTGAGATTACAGCCTTAAGGCTACATAAAGCCAGCACTCCAGCAGCTTATTGAGCGCGTGCGCGCATTCTGCTTTGCCCTCGTCTCGTATTAATTCATTAGTGTAACTCGGCCCCTCGGATGGCGCTCCAATCGGAAACCCGGGCGGGTTTTAAAGAAGAAATGTGACAGCTTCGGGGG